AAGTCTTGTGACGTGTCAAAAGTCAAAAGTCAAAAGTCAAAGCATTTATTTCAATTAAACCATAGTTTGGTAATTTTGAAACGTCAACAAATACAAAATAAATAATAGTCTGTCAGTCAGTCCGTCAGTGAAACTAGGTGAAGCTAGGTGCTCATTCCAAAACGTGTTTCGTGTTTGTCTCTTTGTCTGTTCGCGATAAATGTAGAAACTATCGAACGAATTTTCGTGTGGTTTTCAACAATTGATATAGGTACCTAGTAGTTGTTAAGGAAGGTTTTAGTGGACGATTTGCTAATGTTTTGTGTGAATCTGAAGCAAATTGAGATTATGTGAAGTCTGGTCGAATTGTTTGAAGAAAAAGCCTCAAAATAATTGATTGTATATTTGTTCTTTGTAAATATTTTTGTGCTTGTAGTTCTCCGAGGAAGATTATCGTCAATTTTTATAGTCATTCAGCAATGCTGTTATGTTACTCAGTATGTATGTTTCCGTATCTATGATTTACCTGCATACACAACAGCGTATAAACCTTAAACTAGCAAATGAATTGAATAATGTATAGTGGAGCGTACGTGAACTACAAATTGTAATTCACTGAACATGATTGCAAAGTTTGATTATAATTTATTGCATTGATGAAGTTAATAAGAATTAAGTGACATTAATATTTATTCTTCTTAATTCCTGATTATGAAAAATCCATTTGTTCATATAAAATTAGTCTCTAAACATCGGAAATAAGGTCTATAATGGAGTAAGGGGAAGCAGTCACCAGTGACCGCTTGGCTGCCCAGTATTTGAGGCACAGGCACTATTTTTTTACGCTCTCTATATTTTTTTTATGTGTTAGCTAGCCGTTAACAATAGCTTCGGTATGTGATACAAACTTAATTAAAATTCTTTCATACCTGGATATTACATGTTTTTGTTATTTATATCTTTTCCTCAATAAACATAAGAATTTATAGTCATACACGTGACTGTTTCAACATAATAATAACATCAGTCGTGTCTAGGTTCATATTACGATATCCGCAAAGTGGCTGGTAGTAGCTGGACGCGTAGAGCTGAAGATCGAGGTCAGTGGCGTGGCATTGGAGAGGCCTATGTCCAGCAGTGGACAAGAACAGGCTGTTAATAATGATGATGATGAATAACTGATGTTATACAGAGCAAAAGCCACATGCATTCTTCAATTCTTTTCCTTATAATATCTTAAAGTTGCCATAACCTAAGCTCTATACGAGGACGCTCCCCAACCAGATGGTCTGACCAGCTCAAGGATAAACCAGCATTGAGATCCTACACCGCAACATAAATGGTCGCAGACAGCCGATGGAGACAATTTGTCCGATCTAAAGTGGTGCCAGGATGATCAAAATCCTCAGACGTGAGGGATTGCCTGGAGGGAGAGATACTAGCGAACAAAAGTCATAAATGAACATAACATAACATAACATCACGCCTTTTATCCCCGAAGGAGTAGGCAGAGGTGCACATTATGCCACTGTATAATGTAATACCCACTTTTCACAATTTATGTTATGAGTCCCATGTAATACGGGGTGAGCCTATTTCCATATACCGGGCACAATTCCAGACTCCGTGCTACTACTGAGATTTTTTTTAAAAACCCAGTAATACTTAGCCCGACCAGGAATACGAAACCGAGACCCATTGCTCGACAGTCACACTTGCAACCACTCCGCCAACGAAGCAGTCAGCCAACGAGGCAGTTTAAATAAATTTTGTAAAAAAAAATACAAAATCACCTTCACAAAATAGTGCAAAAGCAAAACGATTCTAGCCAATAAATTCGATTTCAATTTATTTAAGAGAGAAAACGAAAAATAATAATATATTAATATTTCTATGAATATAAAAGTTTCAGCTATGAATTTGTACATACAGTACAGAGATTTCTAATAAAGAAAACATTGGCAAAACGTAATTAGAATAAATTCACTTTGAAAACAAGCGCCGTAATTTGAAACTATAAAACCCCAACCATTGACTGGAAAGTCGAAAGTGATAAAAACATTCAAAAGAATAACACAACCACCTATATATCAACAATCTAAGTGTGGGAGAGCCATGTTTCAGCACGAATGGGCCGGCTCGACCGGAGTGGTACCACGGCCTCACAGAAAACCGACGTGAAGAAACGCTTGCGTTGTGTTTCGTCGTGTGAGTGAGGTTACCGCAGGCAAAATTACCCTCCCCTTCCCCAATCACCCCAATCCCTGAATCCTCAAAATAAAATTCTATCAAAAATCAAATATTTGATAGAATATTTCTCTAGAGAGAATTCACTCGATATAATCCCATTCCGTTCTCTCTCTCTCTCTCTCTCTCTCTCTCTCTCTCTCTCTAACCGTATTCACTTTTATACCGCTAAAACTACACGCATCTACGCCGAACAAAGTTCATAAAACCGCCTACAGTTTCGAGTGAAAACTTTTAACAACCATAGTAGGGTCTAGTTATACACAAAATGAAAATATAAACAAGTTTCATTTATGGGAGGCACGGCTGGCTTGGCAGCCAATTAATATAATTCTGATAGTTTAGATCCAATCAAAGTTTTCAACGCGCGATGGGTAATTTTATTCAAGAGTAATTCAACACTGGTCAGTTTATTCCATTTTTTACTGTGTGAACAGTGTAATCGGGTTGTGTTCGTTTTTTATTGCATTATTTTTCAGTATTGTATTGTATTGTATTGGATTACATTTTCATTTGCAGCTGCAACCCGAATTGGAGAAAGTGATTCTGTAATTTTTATTCGTGATAGGATTGTTCTGACGATTTTATATTTTTATTGATTACTATTTTCATAGTATAACATAACATTACGCCTTTACCCTTGAAGGGGTAGGCAGAGATGCTCATTACAGCAATTAATGCCACTGTACATTGTAACACCCACTTTTCACTATTTATGTTATGTGTCCCATGTAATAGAGGGTGAGCCTGTCGCTAATTATACCAGGCACATTTCCAGACTCCGTACTATTTCTGAGAATTCTTAAGAAAACCCAGTAACACTTTGCCCGACCCGGGAATCGAACCTGAGACCCCTTGCCCGGTAGAATGAAACACAAAAGCGAGACCAGACTGAAATATCAACATAAAGTAAAAAATCTAAATTACAAATTCTCTTTATAATCATAGCCACTAAAGATGCTCAAGATTATTATGAAGATGAAGTAACATAGTTGACCTACATTAAAATTTATGAGCACCAAGGTCCTTAACGTGATAACATCGTGTAGACGTAAAATACTGACCGAATCGACCCAAGAGGCAATTTCTTTAGCACTATAGACCGAGATCCCAGAGCCTCCAGACCTTACTTATTATCTGACGAACAAAACTTGTATAGCAGGTTAATATTGGTATGTACAGTCAACCTGCTAGTTTAGATCGTTGGCCAATAATTCGTAAATACCAAATGCTATAAGTACGTAAAAATTGTACATATAGTTTGAGGTCTTTTCTAGGTCTTATCTAGATTTGAGGTGGTATTTAATTAATAACAGTCTGACACTCCCTCTTGCTTCACCCAAGGTGGAAGAGATATTGGATGATTATCTCTTCTTAAAAAAGCGAAATTTGTGTTGTCCGTCGCAAATTAACTCATCAAGTACCGTCATTATAGACACAATTACAGAACAATAGGTTGCGGTCACCGGTGACCGCTTGGTGTTTGACAGTTTAATAACGACTAAGGGAGGCTCTGGGATCTCAGACTAAGAAAGTTTACTCCTAAAATAAATCTTGCCAAACATAAAATATTTCAACGATTCTTCATACACATCAATATTTACGGTAACACTTCCTATGAAACCTGATTGAAACATGATTATATTAAGGTGCAGGCTCATCATTTTCTAAATCATTTATATTTAGGTGACCATTGATGTTGAGTTTGCAATAAGTAAAATTGTATTAGTTAAGATATAAATATTAAGGTGTATTGTAAACTTGTTTGTGGTTCCAATAAATAAAAATAATAAAAAATAAAAAAAAATCAATATGGTATGGTAATGATCATACGGTAATATTTTTCTCTTAGAAAATCGAGGTTTTTTCGTTTATGCTGACTCGTATATGATTCACTAGCGTCCGTTTTCGTAATATTCTTTGAGTTTATATTGGTTTTATTTGAGGGTGATCAAGTAGGCTGGGTTTTATTTTCTGATTTGGATAAGGATTTTGCAAGTTATTGTTCGAAAGTTAATCTAAAGATATTAATCTAACATAAATAACGGTGACGTGCTTCTGGTCTCACAGCATCGAAAAAAAAATTAATACGAAAATTGTTAGTCAGATAGATCAGAACTTCTTCCGAAGTCAAAGTCGAAGCATTTATTTAAATTAATACGTAATTAGATACTTTTGAAACATCAAAAATTGAATTGTCCGTCCGTCTGTCAGTCAGGGAATCTAGGCGCTCATTCTTCGCTCCAGTGCCATTGTATTATGAACTAGCTTACATTTGTATTATGAACTAGCTTCTACCCGCGACTTCATAAGCGCAATCCTGTTTTATACCCCTTCCAAACACCCGTTTCAAAAGAGTTTTGGATAAAAGTATCCTATGTTCGTCTCCGGATTAAAAAGTACTTCAAATTTTCATCCAAATCAATTTTACCGTTCTTGAGTTATAAATAGTGTAACTAACACAGTTCTTTTTTTATACAATTATTATATAAGATAACTTAACAAACGTCTTATTTTTTTAGGAGTATGCAGCGATGCACATAATTAAAAATATGTAACAATCACTTTGTAACACACCTCTTTAATCTCTTCGTAATTATAGATGGCAAAACTATTAACTCGTCGAGTACCGTCATTATAGACTCAATTATAGAACAATAGGTTGCGGTCACCGCTGACCGCTTGGTGTTTGACAGTTTAAATAATATGGGGGCCGCGTTTTCTAAAAAATATGTGTTTGCATACCACTTATAAGTATTTCTCTTCTTCTCCAGATTCTGTTAATAGAAGCAGGTCCAGAAGAACCTGAAGTAACCAGCGTCCCATCATTTGCACCAGTTCTTGGTAGATCCAGCATTGACTGGAATTACAGAACTCAACCAGAAGAAATGACTTGCAGAGCTCAAAGAGGACAGACTTGCGCTTGGTTGAGGTATGTACATATTTTTTTTTATTAGATTATACAGGTTTTGTTAGTCATTTCCTGCAGAGAGCACGTGAAGGTTTAAATTATGAATGTTTTGCTACAATCAGTGACGTAACTATACCGTTCGGGGCCCGTGGTAATTCATCGAATGGGCCCCCGTTCCCAAAAAAACAGAGAAGTTCAGATGAAAACCTCTGAACGTGGCTCCTTCTAGCTGGGGGCCCATGGCATTGCCACCCTATAGTTTCGCCACTGGCCACAATGCCCAATACTGGCACAACAAATTCAATAAAGAATGGTGTCTCATTTCGAGTCGGTCAAAAACGTGAGACGCATTATTATAAAATTTAATCTAAAGTACATTCAAGTAAACTATATTTTAGCTTATTCCAAAATGATAGATTCTAATACAATTTGTTTTGTGACCAAGAATATAATCGTCCGACGTCATCCAACCGCAAGATCTATGAGTAAAATTATGACAAGTAAAATTGAATAAATAAAGTTTTAATGGAAGAAAACTGTCTCACTATCTTGATGAAATGTTGGATTTAATTAAAGTTTACTGCGAAAGGTTTCGTTATTGTAGACAAGAGATGAAATAAGTGTTACAAATTGTGAGATAAAATTGTTTGTTTATTTTGTAAAGGTCATAGTGTTACAGTAAATTGTTGTAAGGCTTTGGGTTCTAAGAATTCAAAATTTTGCGAAATGTTAATTTAATCGATTGAGCTGGTAACGTTATTGAATTAGTTGTGCTAACGAATTCTGTTTATAACTATATGTATATTATTTACATCCATTTTTAAGTTCAAAAAATACATTTATATAATACTACAAAATATAACGCATTGTTATTGGCACAATATTACCTGAAAAATAATTCCGCAAGTCGTCGATACTTGAATTTTTACCACAAGATGTAATTTTTAAAATACGTAGATTTTAATCTTTAAGACAGAATCTAGTGTGAGGCTTATGTCCAAATACTCATACGCCCCCCAGTTTTAAGTCACGCTGAAGTATAGCTAAACGTCACTAAAAAATCTTTGTAAAATGACAAATATGGAAAGATAGAAAGAGAAAGAAAGAAAAACTTTATGTCACACGCTAAAATAGGTGACATATTCAGATAAAAAAAAGTTTATAAATATCTACTAATGTCCCAAGTCTACGGTGAAATGGGCCCAGTTCAGCATGTACAAGACAGGGCCTCGCGCTGGTATTCTACTGGTCCCTTAAGTGACTTGCGGACGAACAAGTCACCAATTAAACAACAATAAACATATAGCAATAAAGATAGCAGAGAAGATATATGACATGACATTTAAGTACCTACAATTTAAAATTGAGTAGCTTTATAATATTCGAGCATTAGTAAATGAGGTAAGATTATTTTAGGTTCAGAAAAATTTAATTTGATGAAGTGTGAGATTTGATACCCAAAGAATGTCCTATATTTTTGAAAACCGACTTTGAAGAATATCCCCAACACTTAAATGAACTTATTTAATTCACAAAATAAACCTTCTTTATTATTTAAATTAATCTTGATCTTGAATAACGCTACTCATTGCTTCACATAAATATTAGGATTATCAAATAATACATAACAATGGACATTTAGTATTAAATTGTAACTGGTGTAATGTCCTGCGAAGGAGATAACCTCTGGTTTTGAGTGAATTTATTGGTGGAAACGAAGCCCATTGAGGGTCTGTTTAGGTAATATTCTATTAAATATCGTTGTAAGGCTGATGTACAAAATGCAAAACAACGGTTATGTCGAAATTGTAAACCAAACACTTGAAGTTTAATATTATTTTATTGTTTCATGCTTCATCTGCAAACTCGAATGTATTTCATGATTGTTACACTATACTAAGATTTTCGAACTAAAGGTTTTCATATGTTATTGGTTAAAGATTATACCTTATACTAACAAACCTGTTTATACTTTACCATAGTCGACTAACGAAGAAACCGAGTCAGATTAAATTCCCGATAAAGTATGCCAAAGTAATATTTGCATATTGAATGTGCCAAATTTGCTGTAACCAGTCAAATTCAGTCCAGTTTGCTTATAGCAATAAATGCCGTCTATAGCACACTATATTGGACTGATAATATACCTGACAACGGATCATCTTACCCCTTCGGGGAACAAATAGGTATGATGCAATGTAATGCTACTAATTAATTTTGAAATTACAGTGGCCGTGTTATGGGGGGATCCAGTGCTATAAATTACGTGGTATACATGAGAGGTAATAAAAAGGATTATGACCAGTGGGCTGCTCTTGGTAATGAAGGTTGGAGTTATCGAGAAGTAAGTAGAATTGTTAGGAACATCATTTAAAACTTATAACTGGCATAAGTAATATTTAGGCCATAAAGTGTAAATAAAGTCCAATTTAGCTAAAATCTCATAAGCATGAAAGCTTAAAATTTTGTATCAGTTTGCTTAACAAAATATTTCCGTACGAAACCATATATTTATTTATATATTTCAATCGAAAAATGTGATTCTTTGATAAAAGATTTTTTTCTATTTTTAGGTTTTATATTACTTTAAGAAATCTGAGAACAATCAGAATATCGAAGCCAAAGATATCGACCACCACGGAGTTGGAGGCCCTCTAAATGTTGAAAGATTTGCTTACACCGATCCAAATGTTGTGATGCTAGTAAAAGCTTTTCATGAAAAAGGTCTGCCATTGGTCGATTTTAATGGGAAGAGACAAATTGGAACAATGACAACCCAAACAACCACAAAAGACGGTAAAAGAGTGTCAGCCAATGACGCATTTATAAGACCTATACGTCATAAAAGACCAAATCTCACAATATTAACAGGAGCTCAAGTAACAGAAGTAATGTTCAAAAAGAAGGTAGCTATTGGAGTCCGGTATGTCAAAGACGACGTAATATACGAAGTTTATGTATCTAAAGAAGTGATAATTAGTGCTGGAGCATTAAATAGTCCCAAAATCTTAATGCTGTCAGGCATTGGGCCGAAAGATGATTTAGACGATATGAAAATACCAGTTATAATGGATTCAAAGGTTGGCTATAATCTACAAGATCATGTAACAACTGAAGCAGTTTTAATGGGTCTAACCAATATGACGTCAACACTCCTGCCAACCAAAGAAATATTAAAAACCCTAAGCAGTTTTGCTAAATATGGGAAAAAATTTGATGAAATTTCTGCTACTGGTCCATTACAAGTTACAGCATTTTATAGAACAAAATATGCTGGAAATGATCAAACCATTCCTGACATACAATTTCATTTCGATGGCAGAAACAGAAGAGATTTTTACTTAGATCCACCTACATATTTAGCCACAAACATTTTTCCATTCTCTTTATACGATAGTATCAACGTCAGACCAATTCTTCTACAGCCAGCAAGCAGAGGATACCTAACATTAAACAGGACCAATCCAGTTTTTGGCCAACCATTAATATATCCAAGATTTTTCACTGTGAAAGACGATTTAGATGCTTTGGTAGCAGCACTGAAGTACATCGTCAAATTAGAAAAGACGAAGGCATTTAAAGAAAATAATGTTAAGTTTATAAGAAGAAGAGTGGAACCGTGTAATGATCATCCGTGGGGAACTATAAAATATTTCTCTTGTGTTCTTAAAAGTTATACGGGAACTATTTATCATCCGGCTGGAACATGTAAGATGGGGCCACGGCATGATGAAAACGCCGTGGTCGACGCTAGACTAAGGGTGTATGGTGTACAAAATTTAAGAGTTGCTGATGCGTCTATCATGCCTCATATTGTTAGAGGTAATACAAATGCTCCATGCATGATGATTGGAGAGAAAGTTGCTGACATGATCAAAGAAGATTGGGATGTTGTCTTTTTCGAATCTTTAACGCGAAAATAGTTAGAAACTAATTTTGTTAATGTGAGTCACAAGGAAATTACACTTTAAACTAGGTACAATGTACAGACAGTGTTAAGATTTTTAGGGAGTGTTTTAGTATCTAAAACCTAGTACAATGATATCAGGCAATAATGGCAGACATATCGTAACGTGTATAATTTTTTCATACAAACTTATTGTCTTCTTAGTTCTTGAAATGAGTGTTGGAGAGCCATGCGAATAGGCTGGCTCGATCGGAGTGATACCACGACGCAGAAAAACGACGTGAAACAACGCATTCGTTGAGTGAGTGAGGTTACAGGAGACCCTCAAATTCCTTAAACCCTAAAAGGCCGGTAACGCATTTGTAACACCTCTGGTGCCCCGGGTGTCCATGAGCGACGCCAATTTCTTACCATCAGGTGATCCGTCTGGTCGTTTACCAGCTTATAAAAAAATCTTCAGAGTCGTTCCTTAGGTTTAGAAAAAAACTATGGCTTTTAGGTATTTCTTCTAAGAAAAAACTGTGTTAAATAAAAGCCTTTGTTTTGCAGATTTTACAAAAGCATTTTTTTATTGAATTAATAATAAAATATGAACAAGAAACAGAATTTTAGAATTTCATCCTATCAGGGAATGTCAAGCCCGTACTAGTGTTAAAATAGCATTGGCATAAAATAACAAAAATAACGTAAATAAGTCGAGTAAATAAAATACACTCACCTTATTCGAAAATAGCTTTTGTTTCTTGTTAATTAAAGTTTATTTTTTATTATAATTCTTCCTCATTTCACTTAAAAGTATTATCTACTCTAGGTTTTTTACGTTTATATTTCTGCCTAGCTATTTAAATAGAAAAGTTCGTTCGTTGTTAATATTAATAATAAAAAGATTTGCCAAAGAATTTGCGACTTTAATTCCCTCAATGAACCCAAATCCCTTCTTATTAACTCAAAGAGATTATGTAAGGAATGGTAAGTAAAAGAATAAAATTGGTATTATAATAATTATCTAACGCTCGTATCCACTAGGCAACTTTTGACCCGCAAAATTCGATTCGTTCGAAAAGTTTCTTTTTTATAATGTTTAGCCGCTATTTCGCCTGATGGTAAGCATTGA